GCTCAGAGTAGTCAGCATGGCTTCTCTGAGCTGCGGCTTCACTGTTCACCAGCACATCCGGCGGCCTGTGCTGAGAGCACCACCATCACCAGCACCAACAAGATCACACCAAGCATCATCAGACACGTGTTCTTCCGCAAAAGTCTAAAGGACATTTGTTTGGGACTGCGCCCTGCGACATCCATCCGCCACACGCCACACTGGAGATGCTAAAGACCACCACCCCTTTTCCCAACAAAGCCCACCATGACCGATAGTTCAGGAACACATTGCGAGCAGAAGAAGGCATGTCGACCAGCCTCAAAACTTCTGGATCAGAGCAGGCTTGTGGAAAATACCAACCCAGTCGTGACTCCAAACAGCTCTCAGAAACACGAACATCCACGCAACCGCGCTCACAGCCCTTAAACTCGCTGGCCTATAGTCTGCACTTCTGAAGCCGAGCGAGCCAAGTGTCCTCCTTACCGCAGGTCTCTGCCAAGGCCGTCTCAAACCTAACCCGGGCTGACTGGCGCTTTGGAGTTTGGCGGTTTTAGCTTTGGGTGTTTCCGAAAAATAGGGGACCCTAATATAGCACCTAAATAGTAGGATCCTCATTATAAGGACCCCAATTTGGGACTGAAGATGTGGAGCCATCTACTTGCTTAGGGACACGATGTGAAGGGGTTCCCCGAAATCCAAGGAGGCCTGGTGAAGTCCAACAGGTAACTAAGCATGGACAGACATGATATGATATTCTCGACAAGGAGCTGCACATCCACACCGAGGAGCAAGCCTGGACTCAAGCCCGGATGGAGAAGCAACAAACGGCGTCTCTGGGTCTAGACGGCCTATAGAACTTAAGGCATCTTTCCTCATAGCAGGGCTTAGAATTGAGAGCTAAGAGGTAACCACCATGTGCCTGTGCGAAGACGCCCTGGCCATGCTCCCACAGCTGAGGCAACGAATTGCTGGTCGCAAGTGCTTTGTTCCTCTGTTCGCCCTCGAAGCTTCAGAGCATCTTTTAGCCGGGCGGCTGGTCTTCAGAAGCAGCAGCTGGAGTTGGGCAATGCCGATGTGCAAGTGACCAGCGCCGGCACCGAACCTGTCACGGATCGCCAAGGCATATGCTACAATCATCTATTTGGCACCGACGCTGGTGGCTGCCAGGCGCCATGAGGCAGCTGTAAACACCAATAGTGCGGGCCGAAACCTTTTGCCGAGCTGCAAACATTGTGGGTCGACTGGCTACTGGGGTGCAAGTCAGGAAGCAACAAAACTAGGCCGTGATGAGCACCTACGGCACCCCGAATCCCATATCCCGTAGCCCTATGTTCCTTGTACTGTGTGTGTGTGTATATACACACACATATATATATAGATAATTATATAGAACTAGAACTCCAAAGCCCAGCGACCGGGCCATCCACCGAGTCTGACTTCTGAAACCCGGCAGGTGCAAGTATGTGCCCTTCCCCACCCTTTGCCCACCTCGGCATCAGCTGCCGCGCACCCCAACCTCACCAAAGCGAGATGCTTATGGCAACCAGGAGAAGATGTTGGATTTGCATGTTTAAGAATGGTTGGAGCCTGTGGGTCGAGCTATTGAAATTTAGTGTGTGTTTGATTTCAACCAATCGCCATTCCCAACTTGTTAAGCTCCGGAAGCATAACTACGTACGTACGATTCCAATCCGGCTTGATACATCTGAGCCCCATGTGCAGAGATCAGCCAGCCGAACCAGCCAAGGACTATGGTTACCAGAAAAGGCAAATCCGAGGTGTTCTACTGGTGGGGATCGGGTGGGTTGTCCGAGTGGAGCTTTCAGGTTGGGCGTGACAGTTTAATCAGGTGTCATTCGGGATGGACGTTAAGGGCTTGGTGTGGGCTGCACTTCCGGCTGGTTGCTTGTAGCCCCAGAAATCCGATGCGATCAGGTCGATTGAACATTTACAAGACAGGGAACGGTCTAGGGATTCCTTGTTCATGCTCTATAGTGTACCAGCAGATCTGGCACAATCACGCCCACGCAGCAGCACCCCGTCTTCAACCATCTGGCCCCATCAATCAACTTATGCCCAAACTCTGAACTGTGATGCTCGGAGCTGCTGCTGCTCCTTGGCTGACTGCACCAAGCCTCCTTTGCACACCTCGCCATTGGGCCCCGAAGTCTCCAAGAACCCGATGATGATCGATCCAATCAATCTGCCCTCGACACCCTCGCAGCCTCAACGGAAAACCCAACAACAAGCTGAATCCTACTCCGCAGCCACAGGATGACCCCACGCATGATCCCACTTTCTGAGATCTCGGCCGATAAGGTCATGTTTCACCCACTCCCAGAGCCTCGATGGGGCTGTTGGACAAAAAGTCTTCGACTGCGTAGGGATGCGGGGGTTTCAGAAGTCGATGTCTGTTGAGCAATCTCGTGGGCTCGAGTTCTCCGTGCTTCCAATCCCAGATCAGCTCCGTGGCTGAAGGATAAAGCCGCACGTGCTGTTCAGAGATACCAGAAGTACTACTGCTACTGGTATACGATATCATATAATCATGGGGCCGTTCGTTCACTTGGATGCCTGCCCTCCCGTGCTACGTACGACCCTTGCCGAGCGCCTGCATCCGGAGCACACTTTGTCAATGCACCCAGGCGAAACAACTCCACTTTGCGGGTCGCCTAGTGAGGGACCGTGTGATGAATCAAAATCCAGACCTCTAAACCCGAAGCAATTACCCTTTTAATCTTAATCCCCTTTAGAGGCCGAAGGCACTTCAGGCGGTTCAAGCGGTCAAAGTTCCGACGCTTTTCGAAGACTGACACCTAATAAGCAAAAAGGCTTCGGTATCGGGTTCTCCACTCTGCATCAGGACTTACAGAACTGAGATTTAGGATATCTAGGGTTTAGGGTTTAGGGGTGATGCAGACTACTGTACCTACGACTATCTCCGGATGGGACGGGCAACCCTTTCGTGTCACGAAATTGACAAGGTCCTTCATGTTCTTCTCGCAGATTCAAAAGTCCCATCTCAGAACGACCGGATTCGGTCGAGTATGTAAATGCGGCAACTAATAGCAACTAAGCAGGAAACCGTCCTGAAACCCTTCACGGTGTGGGCTCAGCTGCAAACCCTAAACCAAAGCAAGTGCTAAGCCCTAAGACCCGGATTACCGGATAAGGTCAATTACCTGACTTGCAACTCTCCACACACAGCAAACGGGTCTTTCACAATGCTACCAAACACCGTCCAGTATGCAAAAGGAACCTTGTACATGCCTTATAGACATACTTTGGCACGAAACGTTCAGGCTGCAACTGATGTGAGTGATGGGATAATCTAGTCGCAGTCGCAGGCCCAGGCCAAAGAACTCATCTTCTGTAACGCAAGATCGACCCTTTCTGTCTGCAATCTTGCACGAAGATCTAGTGATACATTTGGGATTCTCAATCTCTCTGAAAAAGTCCTTCAGTACGAAAACACATACCCCACAAAACCAGCCGGAGGCCTGGGCACCCAAAGCCTTGAGCTCCAAGGCCGTTCGAAGACCCACAGGGCCTGGCTTCAAGACTCATTCCGGGTGCATGGATATAGGGATCACGATGAAAGTATATTAAAGTGTTCGAGGCTCTTCAAGATTTAGGACTGGGGTTCGGTTCTGGCGCATGGGAGAAAAAGTCGGGGAGTTGGACCTGTCTTGGTCTCTAGGTGTCTCCTGGCTTCTGCTGTGAAGTCTGTTGCTGGCCTGGGCGGAAGGGCCCTGGCGAAGAGGCGCAGACTCCCAAAGGGAGAAGTGCGGGGAGTGAAGAGAATCCGCATGATGCCATAACTCGCCGTCGTGCATCGGAGACTTGAGACTGACCATCCTAATCAGCGAGGGCATCAGATCAGATCCAAAATGCCCTGGAAGCTGTTTCACCCCATTAAACCCTTATAGGGTAACTACCCATGAGCCTAGGCCTAAATGCTAGCCACGACGGTTTGACACAACAGACCCCACTCCGACTGTCAACGTTCCTGCCTGCCCCGCAAATGACGCAGCGGACGTGCTGCAAAGGCTTCGAGGTGTAGCCTCAGTTCGTCAAAAACCTGAACCGGCCCAAGACTCGGAAGGCAACGTGCAGAACCCAGTTTCTGCATGCTAAATACTGGATATACTTCTCTAGAAACTCCCTCGAAGGCTGGGACTACTGCTCTACTGTCACCCGCCCCTGAACCCAAGTCCCACGTCCCAGGGGGGAACGAAGCCCCTGAGGGGAGAGCCCGGCTCAGGGGGTCCCTGCTCCCGTCAGCCCGCGGCAAGATTCGCCAAGAAAAGAACAGCTGACCATGTTCGCGTTGGCGGCTTTGGTCATGAAGCCAAAGACCCCCCCCCCCCCCCCCCCACAGTGGTGATGATGTTGCTCATGAAGATACTGATGATAACCGTAACTGGCTTTATCAACAACATCTCCTACTGGGTTCGGTTTGCAATCGCTCCCGAGCTTCAAAAGCTGCCCTGCCCAGGCCATGCTCCCGATCTGCCAGGATTCGGCCATGCTTCAGCGCCACCCCCTGCTCCGACAGTCGCCTTCGGCGTATATGCGCTATCAGTCCAAGGCTGACGGTTCAGGGTTTGGAAGGGGACGCCGAGGTTCGCATCTTCTCAGAAAAGGTGTGGGGTCCGATGAGGCTCTGAATTGAGTCGCTGTGGCACGACGCCGTTTTTTTCTTCTCCCCTGCCAGCAGTTGCAAATGTCCCTGTACACTGTACAACACACTTTGAACCTACCCAACCTGACGCCTACTCGTAGGGCCTTAAGTTCTGCGTCGAAGTAGCTTGGAAACCCGTGACGAAGCAGAACCCAGATTTCCAGGGCTTCAAAGCAGACAGTTGCTCTCCGCGCCGTGCCACTGCGTTGTGCAAGTGCGGCGGTGGACCGCTGTCATTTGGGGCTGGACTTGAGGTAACCTGAACATGTTTTCACTTTGAGATCACCAGCGTAGAAATTCTCGAATAGATTCAACGAGCCCGGACCTTTCTTCTTCAGGCTGCAGATTGGCCCTCCTTTCTTGCAGCCACCCGAAGCCGTTCGTCTGACTCCCAGACGCACTGCTCCCAGTCCTTGCTTTTGCTCTGATTTCTGATGGCATCAAAATGACTACAATGGTGACTTCGCAAAGGTGCATTCTTGAATGGAATCCAAGGCTCAACCTTCCACAGGAGGATGCCAAAAAGGAAAGTTACGAGGCCCGTGCCGATGGGCATGGAAAACCACATTCCCTGGACGCCCATGTGGCAGGGCCAGGTCATGGTACAGCCAGCAGGGAGCATGACGAAGTATAGGGAAAACAAGTAGACCAATACGGGTGCCTTCTGCTTTCCCATGCCACGCAGTGTGGAACCAATTACATTAGAGATGTTGTCGGGATAACCAGCCCATAGATATATGGCAAGCAGCGTCTGCACCATGGACTGCAAAGCTGCATCTGATGTGAGCAGATGCGCGACGAACCCCTTCGTCAGCAGCACGGTGATCGCTAGGCAGGTCCACATCACGGCATCTAAACCTACGCAAAGCCAGGCCAAGCTTTTTGCCTTCCTGGGCAGCCGGGCCCCGATGGCATTTCCCACAACCGTGGATGCAGCTTCTCCCAGCGCGATGCTGGGCATGACAAGTATGGTCACCATGTTCATGGTGGCTACATGGGCTGCCAAGGCTGCAGGGCCCAAGTAGCCTACAAGAAGTGCGCAGATTTCCCAGAACCACCACTCACTGCACATCTGCAGTGTGGTGGGGATCGCGACTGCCAGGTATGCTCTCCAGTGGCGGAAGGCCTCCGGCTGCAGTCCCAAGAGCTCCTGCGCTCCAAAAACTCCAGCTGCAAAGCCCCTGCAACCTTTCGCTCAAGGGTTTACGGAGTCACTACCCATAGGCTCCTAAGTAGTTCCTTTTTGTATTTTCAATCCTATAAGGTAATCCCAGAAAGGAACTACTTAGGAGCCTCTGGGTAGAGTTCGCTTATATCTCCACGAAAAGCTTATCAGCCCTCCGGTGAGTGAGACTTGGGCTTCTCGCACCCAGATGTATAGACTCGTGATGCGGATTCAGAAAAGGGCTGAGAGCAAACGATGCAACAAAAGCAAGGATGCTTACTATGACTATGGTCCTGAATAGCAGCGGGAGTTGATCACGATGGCGATGACTAATGAACAACGACGATCGCCACATTAGGCAATATTCTCAGGATATCTCAGGATTACGCTTTGTTTGCAATAATATATTATATGGCGCTTTAATTTTAAATCGTCAGCTTTGGAATCGCAGCCCGTCCTGCCAAGAG